CCCACTCCGCCACTCCGCCACTCCGCTACACCGCATCGCCGACACCTCTGGCTTGTGTGAAAATGAAGTGTGTGACCGTGTGTGGCCCGCAACATACGGTATAAATTAATATATTTGTTTGAACAGCTCAAATGATATGATGTACCCGAGTTTTGGTACAGGTCGGAGGTTGTCGGAGGTCGGAGATTTTATGGTATGGATTTAGATATGTGAGTCCCTCCTGGACTCATAGATACGCAATCATTTGCTAAACTAGGCCATTCAACGCTTCTTTACCTACGTCATGTAGGCGAAGAAGCGTTGGCTACATGCTCCGCAATAAAATACTATTTACTATTCTAATAATGCATTATGTTTTTAATATTTGAGTGCCTAACTGAGCAACTTATTCTCAAATGAAATAGCCCCTAAAGACGCTTCCAATGCTGCAAGGTACTTAGCGTACACGTACGAATGCGTGTTTCCGAGGCCATACTATTAATTGATATACGAAATACTAGGTCGTGGTATGGCGCATATCCTTTGCACCCATACCAGTGTCTGTCATAGACACCATGTACCTTGGTGGTACTCGACGTGGTGGGGCATATCTCACCACCATGCCACTGTGGCGTTGGCGTCTGGCATTGACACCGAGTACCCATGCGGTACCAAACCATGGTGAGGCAAGTAGCCATCACCACGGTGTCATGCTCGGCACGGCACCAGTTACGACTGCGTGCGTTGCCTTGACCACCACCTGGTCAGTTGTGTGTGCACTCATGCACAACAATTGGTTTATGGATCCACGACCCATTTAACCCGGCGCGTTACTTACATCACGTACTGCAACCGCTTTGTCAGCGGGTGAGACTTTCCGTTCACCCTGCTCGACAGGTCGTTCATGACCAAGGGACCTGTGCAGTGATTGCACCAGGTCCGCGCTTCGCCTAGTGTGGGGCTGCATGCAGCCACATCACTGCTGAATTACTCAGCGATCCCGAGGCACCTAGCGTCAGTGGCCGTCGCCACTCTGTCTTGCTTGGCTAGAGCTGCCGCAGCTCTAGCCCGGCTGTTCGCCTCCAGCCTGCAGTAGATGTACATCGACGCCCGGTTCCGTAAGCAGCTTGATCTTACCTCAAGGCCAGGGAGGAAATATATTTCCGAGTCTCTCCCCCACTTACACTTGATACCGCTGAGTCTCTCGTGGCTTGGTATAGCCACTGGCTACCTGCCTCGTGGAAAGTCAGGGATGAAAGGTATTTCCGAGCCTCCCCCCACTTAACCTCGAGACTACTGAGCCTCTCATGGCTTGTGATAGCCACTGGCAGGCCCAACGGCTATCGCCTCGTACACTGCGCCGGCATGGACGGCCGTGCCGACCGAAGGCATCCAGCCTTCGCGTCAGCACTTTGAGTCTGCGCGACTTGACGTCGAGCAAGTTGCTCACGTCTGGCGAGACCAAGACAGCCTCGCGCCTCGAGCCAATGGCTCTGCGTGCGGAACTATGTTACCCGCCTTGGTTGTGGAGCTCAGTTACCCGCCTTGGTTGCGGAGCTGCGTTAGCCGCCTTGATGTGTAGAACTCTGTTACCCACACCGAAAGCGCATACAGCGACTTCCTTATCAGTTATAGTCTGAGTGACTTTGTGCGGAGCTCGATTACCCACGCTTGAAAAACCGAATGTCGGTCTCCTTAAGCAGCTTCGCTGCTTGCGGAACTTGTTACCCGCAATGTGACCTATGTTACCCACCTGGTGAATGCCCTTTGGCATCACCACTGTCGAAGCCATACAGCGCGACGACCTTCGGTGTTGGGATCGACTGGTGTGGCAGACCCGCACACACACCGGACAGAGTTAGTGTCCACCGACCGAGTCAGAGGGTACCACACGGTCGCCCAGACCTTAACGGAAGAGGAATGCGCTGAACGCACTTCCTGTGTGGGTATACAGTACCACAGACCTTTAACTGAAGAGGAAGGCATTGATCATGCTCTCTGTGTGGGTAACACAGTACCACACGCACTCGCCCAGACTATAACTGAAGAGGAAGGCATTGGCCATGCTTTCTGTGTGGGTAACACAGTGCCACACGAGGTCTCGAGTGCCTCTGATGTTGTCAACGAGACATCACGACTTGGGTAACGAATAGCTACGTCACGTCAGCCGCCGCAAGTCGGGTCTGAACCTTGTTCAGGCCGACGTCGCTTCAAGCGACTTGGAGTCCAGGGCTCGGACTCCTAAGTTGCTCATCTGGTTAGCGCTTATACGCATAACCACTGTCGAAGCCCGTACGATGCGACGACCCTCGGCATTGGACGCTGCTGGTGTAGCAGGACCACACACAGGGCAAAAGACCCTCGCCCGTGGCATTGCCGCAGTGGAGCATAGTATTGCTGTACGCAGAACTGTCGGCGCGTTGACAGCTCCGTGACGCTTCTGCGTCCTGGTGGTCTGTATCTGACGCCCCAGTCATGACGGATGTGGGAACATGACTCACCAATTCTTCGCCATAGACCTGGAATGGTAGGCCCTTCTCAGCCTTGCCAGGCCAAAGTGCGGGCCGTGCCTTATGTTCGGCACAGCCATGTTGTTCATGGCGAGAACTGCGAGCGACACCGCGGTGCGCGAGTTCATCGAACCCAAACGTATAAGTCCGTTGAGGACCATTGGTACTTCCTTCACCGTTCCAAAGGCTAGTCCACCAAGGACCAGCCCACGACCGCCACTCTGACATAGAGTGACGTCGGGTGTCGCTATGTCAAGCGACTTTCCCGCGGCGTATCAGCGCCCCAGAGCTTATCAAACGTTCGAGGGGTACCGTACCCCCCTACACCGAGTGTACTACCAGCAGCCCATCACTGCCCTTCACCGGTTCGAGAGAACCACGTCTCTCTGGGCTAAGTCCCGTAGTGCGCACAACCTGCACACCCATCACGAAAACTTAGCTCTTTTCAGTAGGGCATACCGCCTCTACTGGTGGCCGGAGAGTCTTCGTCCACCTGGCCGTGGCCTGCGCCACCGGACTTGGGGCCCACGGGCTATCTTCTTCCCGAGGACTAGCGAGGGACACACACGCTTGTAGTGTCCATGTCCGCCGCATCAATAGCAGCGGACCAAGCTCTCGACTGAGCTTAAGCTCATGGGCTCGCTGTAACGGACCGGTATCAACGGGCTGCGTGACAGCAGGAGCAACAGCGCCATTGCTGCGGTGCTCCCCCTCGCTAGGAACGCGATCCTCATCGCGGCGATGTTCCTCTTCCCGAGGAGTATTAGCCTGCTTGTGGCTGTACTCTTCTTGGAGGGCGATTCGAATCGACTCTTCCATTGTTGTCGCTAGCACTCGGATTAGCTGGGAGCGAGAAAGACCGACCTTCAGGCCGTGAAGACTGTTGTCTTGATGTCATAAGGCAGATAATTCCCTGCCAGAGATGCCACCAACGGGCGCATCTCTTGCACGTACTCCTGCAGCTCACGTTTACCTTGCTTACACGCGAGAAAGCGTGAGCGCTGGCGGAACTCGTTGTTCACCGGTAGGAACGCGGCTCGAATCTGCTCACACAGCTGAGCTTAGGATGCAAAACATCCAGGAGATGTCGTCTCCCTGGTATGCCCAGTACCTGGCACGTTCACCAAGGTTCGACAGGGCAAACGCCACCCGAAGTGGCTCGTCCAAGATGCAACCCGCCTTCATGGCGATCTTCACCTCACGGACCCAGACGTGAAGGTTCCCTCCTTCCTCCCCCTCAAACACGGGGACCTTCAGCCATACCGGCTTAGGCCTGGTTGCCTCTAAGCTCCCGCGGACGTGAGCGATGAGACCACGCTCGTATGTCTAAAATGCGGCAACGCGTTCGTGTTGCTCGGCAGGCGTAGCCGCCGCCAAGCTGCTGAGGACATCTTGTCCAAAGATGCCTCCCATCTTCCGAACAGACTCGTACTGTGAGTCGTTCAAGCGAGGAAACTCACTTGGGTCCATCGTGGCTCAAACGTTGAGCGCACAGAGGATTCAGGTAGCTCAATCCCCGCGAAGATGTAGGATCGACTACGAGTGCTAGCAAGTGTGACGAGACCACACAGTACTTTGCTCAGAGGAAGTGCTCAAGGGTATTAACTACCCGAGTGAACGTTAATCCACGTGTTTTCGGCCTCAGAGGGAACGATTTGCTACTAAGAGGAGTAGATGTAAGACTAATGTATTTATAAGTAAGCTTAGCGCAGACTCTATACATACTAGAGGTTACCTCTATCTACAGCTAAGTAGTCATGCCCTGACTGGCTCCTAGAGCACCTGGTACCGTGTACCAGGTGTCCACAAGAGTGACGGGTCACTCTTTATGTAACCTGGGGTACACTGCATTGTACCCCGCTACATAGCATGGCCCGAGCACGACGCTAAACTAAACATATTGTGAAGCGCTTGTATAAATGTTATTTGAAGTGGAGGTGGAAGATGAACATACAGTGATAGCCAACAATAATAAAGAGATTGCAGCAAGAATCTTGATTCAAGATCATTAGAATAATTTGTTTTAATCAGATAAGCATATGTTGACCCAGATTAATAAAATTAAAAAAACATCGGTTTAGGCACACAGAGGCTCAGCGTTTTTTTAATAATTATCCCGCCGAAGCGTAGCGGAGGCGGGAAGGCCCAAACAAGTATTAATAGAAATAAACCTAAACTAGTGCCGCGTAGCGGCGGCGTCGGCTAGCACATGTGTACAAGGTAACTACGACATGCTTCATTGAGGCGTGTGATCTAAAGCATTATATACACTGTAAGCAAGTCAAACAGGACTATAAAACTGGTTGTAGTTCACAACTTGTGAATCGCTTACGCGTATTTGCCAGGTTTTGGACCCTTTCTGCAGAGGCGCAATTGAACACTGGAAATGCAAACTGTCTTTTTTAAGAATCTCTTTTTTTTTCAACATGCGGCACAACACACATTGATCACAGCACCTGCAGCTGTGCTGTGCTAAAATACCCGTGGCACGAGCTGCTCTTGCGAGGTCAGCTAGAACTTGTAGCGGGGTTTGATGTGTTCCAGCACACGCCGTAGCATCCAACCATCACCGGGCGTAACGGTCCGTGAGGAGCCTGCCTTCATGATGCAGACCGGAAAGTCCTCGTTCGGTTGGTCGGTGGTCTTGTAGAAATCGGGAAGTCCGAAACCGTGACCTATTTCGTGAGACACGATAATCAGTTGCTCCTGATCAATGGATGCAGTCATTGATTCCTCGTCGACACGCTGACCCCAATCACCACCGGCACCACCACCCTGGCCCTTCGTAGGCCACAGCGACATGTCGAATGGTTCTCCCTTGCATGCACTAGTGTCGGCGTTAGCAGCGAAATCCTTGTGCTTGTAGCAGGTCTCCGGACACAGCGGAACACCTTCAGCATCCTTTTCAGTAGTGTAGATCGTGCCGAGGGAATCATCCTTCCAGTCGAAAAGCGAGGCATCGCGCGTCGCCCACCCGACAATCTTCACTTCGATCGTCTCAAACGGCCAGCAATCGTACCCAATGAGCCACTCGTTCCACGCCTTAAACTGTCGATTAAGCATGGCCTCGAACTTAGACGCCACTGTTTTTGAGAGCTTGTTGGTACTATCCCAACGCACACAGTAGCTGAGCTTTCCTTTATTGTTCACAATCTGGTCAAGGATGTAATTCTTGAATTGGGGAACGTATTTCGACATCCTCTGCGTCCAGATCCAATCCACATCTTCCTTCTTGATGTATGCGTTCGGGTCACCAACGACACACTTGCCGTTTCCAGAGGTGACGTCGCCGAAGGTGGCATGTTCCCCAGTCGAGTTACCAGATGTCGATGGGGTCTCGGCACTTGATCCCCCCATGGAAGTCTGTGTAGGAAGCGACCCAGTTGCGTCTTCATTTGACCCCTCGATGGGGCCTTGAGCCGGCAATGACCCGGTGGTGCCACCATTGCTTGAATCCGAGGACCTAGTATTTTGTGTAGGGCTGGTCATCTCTGGCGTGTCCGGAGCCTCCGTCGTCTCCTCTGTGGGTGCATCCGTCGTTCGCTGGATCGGTGAGTCCGTGACCGTCGGAGTTTCGTTGTCAGGGAAGTCAAAATTTACGTCAGGCGACGTTGTAGTCGCAGGAGTCGAGGTTGTTGCCTGCTTGGGGTAGCATTTCGCGGCTGAAGTGACGGAGCTGCAGGCAGCTAACATAACGACAGCAACGAGTAATAGCTGGATTGTAGAAACTCGAGAAACTTGACACGCCGCCATGGTGGAGAAAATGGCACTGGAGCCAGGGTCGGACAGCGGGAAAGTCGAGTACGCCGTGTCGTAAATTACGACTGACATCATGATATTAATTCATGTATGTGGTTACTGTGTTCGGGCTGTACTACGGTATTTAAATCGTGCTTCGTGCAACACCGTTCAATAATCCATGGCGTCGCCATAACGCAAAGAAGCAGTGCGGGATTGGCATAATGCATCGCCTCTACTGAAAGCACAACTCGTCGAGCACTCGATAACGCAGATAGACACCGGACATTAAACGTACCATCTGGGTCACAAAGTCGCGTACAATTTGTAGCTTACAAACCTACGAGCTCCAAAAAAAGACTTCTAAGACATCTACTTGAATGCACTGCAGTACCTATTGAGCTGTCAATTTCGGACTACAGTACTAGGTACACTTCTACGTATTATTTTGCTATTATAATTATCGGCCCGGTATTTCTATTGAACAGATTTGGATATCTCCCGATTTATCGTTTTTCTGTTAGCATTATAAAATCACCCCTCCTTAAAGGAGGTAAAGGAGTCCTTTACCTTGCAGACTGAATAAGGAACGGGGTTTCAACTAATAACCTCGCAATTTTTATAGTCGGGAAAGATTTAGGGAGATGGGAAAGTGATGGGCAAGGTACTGACAAAACAATCCAGGCACTGACTTTAATTTCAATTTAAAAAATGGCGTGCAGTAGGTGATCCTCCTTCGCTTCAAGCCCTGCGAGCCGAACTTCATTCCTACATTTACATTCAAGCTCACTAGCCGACTGCGTCCTCAGCACCCCATGTCCTCTAATCGTCTCCGCCTCACCTGGTCCGAGAAGGCAACGTCCGTGTTGAGATGCTACCCCCGAACACCACCGCCAAGATCCAGCCGCTGGATCAGGGGATCATCAATTGCATTCAACGCACATCTTATCGCAAAAAATGATGTTCACATTGGATCACCTAGGCGAAGGCCTCGACAACCCGTACAACGTCGACCAGTTAGCTGCACTGCTCTGGTGCGATGCTGCATGGTCTAAAGCTAGCGCTTCCACGATTCAGCACTGCTGGAATCCCTCTGGTCTCATTCAAAAGTCGAATCTTCAAATTATCCTAGCTTAATTCAATACATGCACATGATCCGATATCAGAGTCTGTTTTTAGCGAGGCACTGTCAGCTTATGCAATCTCTTTCTTAATTTATATCAGGCGTTCCTTATTCAGGCAGATTTCTGTCCACGTGAAAACCTAAGGGCGCGTGATGCTGTGTCTTTTAAATCCAAGATAGCGGTTCATCACCATCACAATCCTCAAGATAAAAAAGACGGAAGTCATTTGCATCTTAAGGATGTGCTCCACTACTGTACCGAGCGCTTTCGAAAAGGCGTTTGCTCACCGAAATCATTTTCGGATTATCCATTCTGTACAAAATGCGTCATGTGCTGAATCTACAGAAACCTTAGTTTGATACAGTACTTGTGATACTCGGATACAGAATGAAAATTTAGCTATAATACCTCCTGAGCATGCGTGTATGAGTGGGAGGAAGCGTAACTTCCAGACTGCTGTGCATGGTGACAAGACGTACAGTACCAGCAATAATTTGAAGTGTACAATACCGGTACATTCAATGGGAACTGACCATTGCCTTGTCGTGAAGTGTTTACAAACATGTACTACGCTTGCGTACATGGCACTAAACTTCAAATAAATAATTATTTAGCTCTCCGATTCTTGGTAGAAAAGCCTCAACAGGGAAAAAGCGAGATTACGGAGAATGAGGGCTCACATACAGGGGCTAATGGTAACCAAATATCATATGATATTTTCGATAGTAATAGTACTATTTTTGATATTAAATATTAATAGTAACTCATTTTTGCAAAAGTTAACATAATATTTTAATATTAACTCGGAGAGCTAAAAAAATATATTAGATACTACGTGATAATTTATGATATTTTCCCAGTTAAGTACGTTTCTTGCCACCTTACCCTGTGGACCGAGCGGAGCCAAAAAACTTTTTCGATCAGGTTCTAGAAAAGCAGTAGGCTTTAAGACTGACGAGCTCTTGTATTTCACTGTGACACAGACAAAGACGATCGAGATGGAAAACTGCAAACGCTTGCAGCTGTTTAACGTTGATAGAGCGAAATCAAGACATTTGTTCTTGTTCTCTACCGATCTCCTCGTCCACATCGTGCGTCTAATAAACCTGCTGCCTGTGGCGCTAGATTAATGCGCTCAGCAGTGCCAACACACGGCGCCAACCTTGCCGCCACTCTCACAATTGTCCCCTCCCTCACGGTTGATTAGTAATACTTCAGCTAGTCGAGCGTATGATTGGTTATTTAAGCCCGATTACGCAGTCTTTGAAAAATATAATATCGTATTAACTAATACTAAGTTGATATTTAATAATATTATATTGTCTCAGAAGAAAATATTAGGTAGTCTTTTTTATATTAGCTGGTCTACAGGTGATATTTTTACAATACAGTACACAAAGTAAGCGTCACCTACTTACGTAATACCCCGCCATATCTGCTACGGTACATACAGGTTTAACTGACCAATCACAAGAATGCACTGATTTTGGATGAACTGCAGGATCGGCGGGAAAGATCACCATCATTTCCAGCCTCTTCGCTGAGTAAACCATTGAAAGACTGAGAATGGAGATTAAATGTACGAGGTAACTCATGCTCCCGCTACGTACGCCTCCCTCCATGCCCACTATCACTCTTCCAAGCGACCATGACCGCCAGCCCCATGCCGCGCCGGATCCGCCTTACTATGGAGCAGAAGATCGCCATGTGCAAGTATGCGAAGGATATGCGCGCCAAAGGCAAACTGTCCAACACACAGCTCGCAGCGTGGGCAACACGTGCATTCAAGCTGGAAAAATCTCTTTCACGCGATGCCGCTCGCAATGTTATCGCTGGGGAGTCTAAGTGGGCCGCTATGGAGCCCTGTCAGCTAGAGCGCAAGCAGCTCGTCAGCCCCCAAATCCAGGAGACGGACGCTCGCATTATTAAGGTCTTTAAGGCCGTGGACGGCAAGGTGAAGGCTATCACAGGCAAGTTGATATAAGCCAGTAAAAAGGCTGGATGAATACGGTAATTTTCCAGACGTGGCTACACTCGGTTAGCCTGCAGATGTGGAAGCATTTTGCTGCTCGTCGACAACGTGAGTTCACATGCACGACCCGCCATTGCATTGAGCAATGTACGTCTGGAGTTTTTGCCCAAGAATACGACTTCGTGTTTGCAGCCGTTGGATCAAGGCATTATTCGAGCCTTAAAGAGTAAGTACAGGGATTTAAAGGTACTTGATTGTGTCGACCGCTTTTTAGAAGGGCGGGACCAAGAGAAAGTTGATATCTACACCGCTCTTTGTTGGAGTAAGATGGCCTACGACGAGATCTCGCCCAAAACCATTCAGAACTGCCGGCGGCACGCAGGCATTCTGTCGGACAGGAGCAAGATCGCCTCGCTTCTTAACTAAATATCAGTACATTTAAAGCATCTGTTTTATCACCCTCTAAGATCGTTTCTCGGTTCCCCCTACGCTTACTTTGAGGGACTTCTGTATTAACTTCACCGATTTTGGAGTTACCATTAACCCCTGCTCACATATTGAGTGCAAAAACAAATAAAGGTAATGCTGCTCAAAATATCCTCTTAGCAATTAAAAAGATCTAGAGCAATGCTGAGCACTAAGCAGGCTCCACTTCGCTCCAGATGGAAAGAAAATGTACGAATCTATGCAGCAAAGTTTGATTTGATTAAAGTAAAGTACTTGTTTATTAAAAGATTGAATTAAATTATGAAAGAACAGTCCTTTCTAAAGGCATAAAGTGGGTGGATTATCATGTATTATTAACAGTGTGGTAGTAAAGCCGACGATATTTCTGCATTAAAGGTCGAAATTTTCGACCTTCACCGGCAAACCCACACTCCCGGTAATTATACACCCACAGGAAATGTGTTTTTAGCTAGGCACATTGACTTTTAGCGAGACCGAATTGCGTACTCAAACAGGTGCTGGATGTGGTGTCAGAGTGGCAAACTAGAATGCAGCTCTGAGAAAGAAAATATTAGAGCGCAGTGTGGCAGCACACCTGGGAAAGCTCAAACGAGCATTAGAAAATGGTAAATTGGACGAAAATGCTACATGGAGACTACACGGCAGAAGATCGTCGTGAAAGAAGTGATTAGCGTGGCTCGTCGGAACGCAGACCTCCGTAGGCAAGAATGCTACCGCGAACGCACGGACTCGGAGATTCCTCTCGTCCCGCAAGAAATGGACCTGTTCTAGCGCAAGTACATATGCACGCATGGTTGACCTGGGTGAGAGATGTCTACAGGCAAGCGGATGTCGCACAACATCATATTCATGTTGTGTCCTTTTCATATGCTGGTTCGATTCGTAAAGCGCGGCGATGGAACGTGGGGTATTGAGATAAAGTGCGATCTACGGTTACAACCACAGGATCTCGGAAATATTTACAGGTCTTATCCAGGTTTCCGCCAGGTTCCGAAGGAATTACCTTTGATGTCTGGAATTGCGTTTTTAGTGGAAATGGTGGCTGGAACTCCAAGTGCTTACAACCCCATCCGCAGAATTTCCAATCATCAATGGGTGATGTTCGAAACCTGATTTCGCATCAAGACAGGTAATAGTGTGAGCGCATGTGTGTTTTGGTCGCATGCATGTGTCCGCTCGTGATCGAAATTACTCTAATGTCACCGCGTGCACGTTCATGCACTGAAGATGCGTTCGCGACGAACGCCTCATTTAATTTCAGAACCATAATGACCACTGCATCACTATCCGATGGCTCGACACCTGCAAATATAACAATAATCGTAAGTGCTGTGGCGGATAGTTTTTCTGAGGTGCTGCAGATGGCCTGAACGCACAAGACAAACCAGTGAGTAGGAATATATCCGCGTTTAATCCAGGTTTAGTGCAGGCTTTCACCATTTTTTTTTGTGGATAGATACAAGTATCAGTTGCTTTCAAACGTTACAATGGAGCAATACGGGGAAGAACGACTAATGCAGTACTCGCTCATC